TCGCCGGAGCGGCACTTTCCTCCCTGCAGAGAACGTGCTCAAGTCAAGCTATAGAAAACGATGGTGCTCAATGTTGAAGACCTAGGGGCTGTTCATGCCGTTGCACTTTGCGTTCGTTATTCTGCAAGTGTCGCGCCAAGATCATGGAATTTGGACTTTTTGACAAGATGATTGTATGTGGTTAGAAATGTTCCCATATGGTAGGTCGTAAGAGTTTGTTCATAGCTAGTATCGAGACGATGATCTGCTCAACAGAGGAACTATGCACAAAGAGCTAGATAAGAAGAGCCGATTCACCGCTTGAGCACAGTCGGTGAAATCGATTCGTGGATTCTCCCTATTCCGAAATTCCGTCTGTTGTTCTGCGCACCCGAGGTGTGGTGATGGTGATGAAGTCGCCGTATGCTAGTTGCTGCGATGGTATATATTATACAGGCGATAACAATAATTGGTCAGTAAGACGTTCATTATAAATGCTAGCATACGTCCAGTTGTTGTAACTGATTTGAGGAAGGATGGAACCCTTACCTGGCGACGGTCATTTTGACCCCGTGAGTGAGCGGATCACGGATCACTTGATTCTGGAATTCTCATTACACCTTCCGTGTTGCTTAATATCGATTAATAATACCGACGGATTCTAATTTCTCAGATTTAAGATGGAACGAAGTGAAAGAGGGCAGTTACACTCGACAAGATGAAGCCAATATGTGGATGTTTCTGTACAGGTGAGGATTAACGAACTATTTGAACTAACACCTAGCATGACTTATCGGAGAATTATCTTCCACTATATATAATTAGCAACGTCTTTCTGCTTTTGTCTGTCGGGATGTTCGGTTCTACCTGAAGAACAACTTGGAGAATTGAATTGACCTCAGGATCCGGGGTAGAACATCAACAGATGAAAAGAGCCCACAAAACCCACAGTAAACCCCGCCCACAGTGGGCGGGCGTGCGCTGTAAGTTAAAGGTGTCACCTGAAATTCATTGTTCGGCTCCAGAGCGGCCCCGAGGTGTGGGAAAAAGAATAAGGTTTGCAAAGGGTCGACAGATAAGACGGAGTTGATGCGCCCAAAATGAGAGTGGCCGTTTCGTACGGTCAGGCGGTTCTTCCCACAAAAATCCCGCAAGTAAGTCTGTGCGTGTTTGTTTCAACATGCTGCCGTTGTCAAAAAAAATTTTTCCAGGAATCTATCTGTTTTGATCGTGAACAGGAGAGTGGTCGCAACCGAACCAAATATAGTGGGGAAGCAAGAGGTTTACACTGAAGGACGTCTTGGCGGGTAACATCTCAGGTTCGCCCTGTGTGATGCACACTTTGACTTTGACTTCTCCCGCTTAAAAGTAAAGAGTTAGCAAAGGGGACCAGATGTGCATAGGTGATGACTGATGCAGAGCTATTTTCAGCCCACTCTTCTACATTTTCTTCAAAAAATGCCGTGTGACCATTAGGCTCCAGGTCGCCTGGAAGAGCGCCTAGCGCAGACAAGTCAGCACGGCGAAGCCGAGCTGTGACATAGAAGGAGGATGGGCGGTCCGAATGGTAATATGCTAAGAATCTATCTACGGGTTCCGATGGAGGATAATCTGTGCTCAATGAAGAGATCGGTTTTGTAGGAATGATGACCTGTGGGAATATTGCTTGAATTTTCATATTCTCGTTTTAGAACCGTTTAACAACCGTAAACGATAAATCGTTAACCCTCAACGGATGGTTGACAATTAGAGCGCATTTGATAACGTTTCTAATGTGCTGCATTTCAGAAAGCTGAGCCAGGCCAGTGCGGCTGCTTATGAACCAAAGGGACGGGTCATCTGGGAACAGTACGTACAGGAATGTCGTGTGAACAGGACTGCTGACAGTTTGACTACTCAGTAAGTATTTCGAGAAACTGTAGCGGTCATGTCGCCAAAGGTGCAGTGCTGCGGAGCATATTTATTCCACGAGTTGCATGGTTTTCGGGCTAACCTAAGCACCATCACCTTTAGTTTTCGACGGCACATGTTCAATAATCTCTACAATGCTGCTCTGGAATGTAATGTAATGATGTTTATTTACCGTCGACTTCGAATTAAAATGGCTCGCCCTGTCAAGAAAGCGTAGGTTTTTGTTGTTTATTGCTTTTCCATTTTGAATTGAGAGGGACCATTCAGCGACTGACTTCGCGCTAAGGGTTTTTGGCTGCTGACTTTCCTCTCGAGTTTTCGTAACATCCCACATGGGTCGCTCACCGCAACAAAACAGTGGAAGACGTGAAACACCCTGTATTCCTTATCATGCATTTCGTCATTACTTGCTGTTATATTTTTACAAGAGAGGGGAATATAAGTCAGGGTATCTGTAACACTTACTGACACATAGTATCGAATACTGAGGCTACCGTGGTCGCAGCGAGGTAGATCATTGGTATGTGTGAAATGGTGGTGTTAGTACGACCTCTACTACACTGGAGTCTGGGTACAACTTGCTTTCTCCGACTGCTGTTAAGGACGATTCCCGCGACCAAGTATTACGGGTAGTAGTAGCAGTAGGCAATCATGTACCAGTAGCCGAGCCGATTAGTACTTTCAAGATCCCCGGAAAAAAACTCCGGAACACTTCTGAACAAGACAACTCCTAGGGTGGGCCTGGCGTTCCTGAATGAGTGTTGGTCGGACGTCGGCACGCCCCATCATATTAATAAGAAGCACCCACGATTGTGACCGGCGCTGCTACTAAGTATTAGACCAGCTCCCCATCCGGTCGGTACAAGACGCCTTACAAGGAAATTACCCTTGTACTCACGATTAGCTTCAAGGGCCAGCTCTAGAGCGAAACTGAGTCTCTAGTGTGTACACGGCATTCACGTCTCCTCTTATAAGCCAGGAATTCTTTCGCTAACATTGTGGACCGCGAGGTGAGAAAGTTAATCGTAGTTGTCGTGGTTTCTAGCTTCATTATCTCGTCGTTTTGAGTGGCGAAATTGGTATATTCTCTGCGAATGCGGATAACGATCCCAAATGCACAGAGGCTGCGGATCACTTGATCGCGTGAACTGTCTTTAACACTTTAACGACCCCAAACATTTTACTGCTATCGAGCGGAGCGGGAGCGCAAAGAAATATAGCGCGACTGAAACAAGGGAAAACCACAGCATCAAATATGACCACCTTAATAAGATTCACATAACAATAATTTATGTCGAATTGCAGAGTAGTACATGAATGTTAGCAGATATAATCATACTGAATATCTGTTGGTCGTAGTCTGCTTTTACTCGTCAATAGCTTCACCTAACCGCCATTACCACTCTCCCTCACCTGCTACCTTAGCTCCTTATTGGGTGACCGAGTTACCAAATTTAATCGTCGGCTCTATACGGCTCAGAGAGGGCATTTTACCCTTTTCGCTAGTTTGTTTTGCTAATTCCTGTTAATTCACTATTCCAACCTTGGCAAGACTTGTAGACTCTTGTCAGGTGTAAACGAAGCTCAATAGCTTCAGGGGAATTTACAAGTCTTCTCAAGGAGCATCAGCAGTGAGCCGAACTGCGCCTAATCGCTTTCTATAAATTCATGCTTGGCAAGTGTATGTTATAGGATTCCCATGATGTATACTGATCAAATGCAGACTCGAGTTGAAATTTTCCGTGGAAATCGAGTTGAACGAGGGCGACTATGTGAGATCCTTCAAGAAAGTGGTGCGACCATTGGGGCGGCAACAAGGTGATGATGACGGTAATGGTTCGATCAACAGAGGTGGGAGCATTCCATGGCTTCTCTGGAAAAACGCTTAATGTTTTCTTCAGGCAAGTCAGCACAAAACAAGGCTTTTGTGAAAGGTCGCCCGCAGAAGGAGCTCCATGTATCAAGTGATGAAGGGTCGGTAACTCCTCCGCCTTTGAAGAGGTCCTCCCTGGACTATACGCGTGAGCCCGCCGATCTTTTACGAATCAAATTTGGCTGCTACTATTCGTTGCGTTGATTTTAGGGCAAATTCAAGATGTTGTTGTCAATAGCCGTTTCGAAGCGCGATATAAGAGACGACCCAGTGAGGTGAAGTTTCACATGTTATTTTGTGACTGGTTACTTCGTAAGTATGATTAAATGCGCCTGTCATGAGGCGGAAGTTGTGTAGTGGTAACTGGCTCGCCTATTATGTGCGCGATCTCGGGGTCTATTATGCGCGCGATCATCCTAAATTGGCTCCGCTCAGGCAAGAGAGGCCTTCTACCCTTCGGAACTTGGTACTAGATTTGGGAGGATAAAAACGACTTGCACGTTGGCTTATCCCCGCAAGTTGTTGTATAGACCACATCGCATTCAAAGCGCAATTACAACTTTAAAGACAGCTCCCGCGATAAAAGTGTCAAGGATAATTGCTGATCAATTATGAAACAGTAGCTGATAAGTAATTCCTCAATGAGGGAAAAAGCAACAAGAGCCCTCAAGAACACCACAAACGAAATTGCTCCCTTACAGTTACACCCCCTGCGATCC